GATAGCAGGCAACAACAGAGGAAGGCCTCTATGCCTTGTTTGGTGGTTCTCCAGGGCAACTGTGGGACAAGATGCTGGACTAGATGGATCACTGATCTGATCCAGGAGGACACCTCTTCTGTGTTTATGTTTTCCATATTCCAAGAACAACATACTAACCACCAGCTGCATGTTGACATTTCAGATGAAAAGGTGTTAATAGCTTCACTTGCTGAAATACCAGAGATGCTCTTCTTAATGTTTCTACCAGAAGTTTCCCGAAGTTCAAAGTTCTATGCAGATCTTGTAAGGCATTATCTATTCTAGGCATCCTGCAACAGTGCCTTTTTTAAATCTCAGAATTCTCATGTAAGCAGATTTGACTCTGCATAACACTTCTCCAATGCAAATATGCCAGCTCTCTTTACTATCTAGTCATGGACAAGAATAAATGTGAGTGGATGCTTGGTATCTGTTCAGCATACCTGTGTCATTTAAGGGGAAAGAGGTCATTGCATAAGTAAGGTCCAAAGCTTACACAGAGAACAGCATGAATAAGCATCCCCTCCCTCCTCCTTGGTTCTCTGCTTCTCCCTGTGGCCATGGATTGCAGTGATTATGCAAGCGACAGTTTCAGACATGAGTAAATCTGACACAGTTTGCTGCAAGCACTCCTGGAAGAGTTAGTGCCACCACTGTGTATCTAACAATGTACACACGCATGATTGCATGAGCTCAAGCAGAAGGAATAACTGAGAAATTTCAGTATATGTAGAATCATAGAGTTGGAAGGGACCTCCGGGGTCATCTAATGTACTTGGAACATTTGGAGGTGACTATTGATGAAGCCCTGAGGGGAAGCTGTTCTTCTAACAACAACACTATTCTATTCCTGGTGAGAGAGAGAGTTTGCTTTGGAAAATGGACAAGTGATTTAACCTACCATTTCATTATTTTTTTAATATAATTGGTCTTAGAGCATTTTAAATATTTTACTTTTACTAACAATTTATTAATAACCTTTGTACTAATTTTTAACTTAAGAAATCATATTATCACTCAAAATCATATTAAACTATTATCAAAATTAATTAGTATTTAGCCATGATATTCTAATAAGATCAAACATAATTAAATGGGTTTAAACAATTCAACCTCCCTAATATTTCCAGTATCTTTTATCTTTAAATTACACATGATAAGGCTTCCTTAATCACCACTAATTTACAATAGAAAGGACAAAAATAAATAAATAAATAAATAAATTTAAGGTCATTTTTCCAGCTAGTCATATATCAGAAGAAAACCAGTCCCTCCATCTTTTTATATAACTTATTTTTCCTCCTATACATCTGTAATCTACTTTTCTGCCACAGCATATCTACATGTCTTCTTTCTTTATGTGTGCCTTGATTTCCTTGTCTCTCCTCTCTGGTTTTCACCCACTCTAGTTCCCATATTTTGTTATCTCATTTGAATTTCCAAGCCCGTTGTCTTCTTTTTGTTCTTCTGTTTCCTTCTCTTTCAGTTTTTAGTCGTTGTTTATTTTCTTTTGGCAGTTCTAACTTGGCACAAGATGATATTTTTTGTCTCTTTCTTACTATTTCAGTTAAAGGGTATTGGGTTTCTATATAGTCCTTCTTTTGTATAGTTCCCAGATTTTCTGCCATAGAGTAAGCACTGTTCTCCTTTTGCCGATCAACTGGGGTTTCATTCACAATGAGTTACTCCTGCTCTTCCTTTTTGTCAGTTTCTATCTGGATGTTATGGGTTTTTTTCAATAAATTCGCACATGCTTCCTCGCACCCATTTTGTACCGCCTCTTTCAAAACTCTGAGAAACTGCTTGATCGTCATCTCACCCACCTCCATATTCTCGTCAATCTCCTCCTCCGTTCTCATTACAGACACCATTTCCAACAAACTCTCCAAGCTCATTCATTCAAGTTCCAACAACAATGTTCTCAATTTAAAAAGCGTATTTCAATAAAAATAAGTTCTATTTTTTTCTGATATATTTCTTCAAGCAAGTTTGCTCGTGCATGATCTCACATTTTCCTAACTGTGCAGTTTTGCTATGTAACTAATAAATATCCCCAGTACTTCCGGGTGCAATCCAGAGTGCAGCTTTTTCTCTTTGAAAACCCTTAATGATGTAGGAGCAGGATATCTTAAGGACCATCTTCTCCCATAAGAATTTGCCCAGATATTTAGGTCATGGCTGGATATCCTTCTCTGTTTTCTCTCACCCTCTGATGTATGGGCACATGAGAAAGGGCCTCCTCTGCAGCACTACCAAAATGAGAGAATTTCCTCCCCAGGAAGGTTAGCGTTGACCCTACACTGATGGCATCAGCTTTCTGGCATCAACTTCATTTTTTTTTTTAATTTCTAGTTGAAATGCTGTGGTTTTAGTTTCTGTTTAAATGTATGGGAAATGTTTACATATGCTGGCTTTTGAAGGGGTGATTTTTTTGTTTTGGATTACTTTGACACTGGTTGTCTCTCTCTCTCCCCCACCCCTGCCCGTAAGCTACCTGCAAGATTTTATTAAAGTTTCCTGGACACTCTCACCCCAACAACAGTTAGTCAGTGAAGGGGCAAGAAACTTGGGGAATGATGGTATCACATCACACATGTTGCATTATTAGATATGACAGAGGGGAGAGGAGGATCAGCCACACACCCTCTGTTATAGTCAGTTCTGGCTTCATGCCAGCTCTCCATTTCCTGGCTCAGCAGTCTTAAGGCGTATCATTATTCCCACCTCTTGCTTGGGTAGTGGGATGCAAATGACCAATAAGTAGCCGGGCCTTCTGACACACTTCCGGTGATGTCAGGGGGTGTGGCCTTCTGTCACTTCCGGTGATGTCAGGGGGCGTGGCATATGCAAATAAGTTATGCTAATGAGTTATGCTAATGAGCTCCGGCAGCTCTTTTTCTACAACAAGACCCCTGGATATGACAGAGGGGAGAGGAGGAGCAGCCACCCACCCTCCGTTATAGTCAGTTCTGGCTTCATGCCAGCTCTTCTCTCCATTTCCTGGCTCAGCAGCCTTAAGGTGTATCATTATTCCCACCTCTTGCTTGGGAAGTGGGATGCAAATGACCATACACAGGTACTTTGTAGCAGATGCGCTAACACCAAGAAGCCATAGAAAGGTATTAGGCAGCCATCTGGCTCTCAGTACACAGCATGAACCCAGGATGCTAATCAGATTAGTTCTATTTTTGGCTCACCATCCCCAAAACATTAGTAATTTAATAAACTGTATACACAACAAATGCCCTTTGCTTTGGAACTTCTCTTTCTGCCTCAGGCAGGCTTTCTGAACAGAAGAGTGTGTTTGAGCCAAATATTCTAATGACAGCTATGCACATACTCACTGATAATCTCCAAACATTCAAGAAATCACAGGACATGAAGTCTGTGTCTGATTATATTTTCCTCACAACTGCTAAGAATGTGGGCATATGTTTGTGTTATGCATTGACTTGTCATTAGTGAGTACTGTGCAGTGCACTCATCAGGATTGTCATTCCCTGAACTTAATAGTGCTCACCACCCACGCTGTCTGCTGGCATCCTTTTGGTACTGAGGACCAACTGATGTACGTCTCCAAGCAGAATTTGTTGGTGATCAAACAATATTTTTGGCTTGATAATAACCATCATTTATTTTGAAGTTTAATTGGTTTTCTCATGCTGTTACTGGTGCTGGAAATTATTATATTGTGAAAGTCAATGTGATGCGTAGGATTATGACTAGGGAGATTCTGGGTTCAAGTTCCCACTCAGCTATGACGTTCATTGGGCCTGTCACACTCTCTTATTTTAACTTACTTCACATGGCTGTTGTGAGGATAGCATGGAGGAGGAAGAACCCTGGGCTTCTTGAAGGAAGAGTACGAATAAAATCCAATAGGCGGGTTTTCAGGATTTGATTGTGGCAACTATGGGTTTGGTCAAAATAGCCACACGGACTCCCATCGATAGATCATATTTTTTTTAACCCTCACTTCCTCCAAGAATCTCAAGGTGGTTTGCACGCGTATCCCCTCTGTTTTATGCTCGCAGGATTCTGTGCATTACATGAGACAGAGTGAGAATGGCTGTGGGCTTCACAAAGGAGGAGAGATTTGTGCCTGGGTCTTTCCGGTCCTAGTCCAGGACACTGACTGCGATGCCACCCTGGCTGTCTTTAAGGGAAAGTTGCAACTATCCTGAGTTTTGATCACTAGAAGAGCTGAGTTGCCATTCTGATTGTGTCCTCTCAGGATGACCCCCCCCCCACTTCTTCCTTATCCATAGGGAAGGAAGGACTGATGCAGATAAGTGTCCCAAGCTATTTTCTGTATTACGGCCTTTCCCCAGAACTTTCTTCATCCAGTTTTATTTCATGCTTTATCTATTAAAAATGATCTCAAGCCAATTCTCTTTGAAGCCATTTTTGTAACTGTTCTGCTCCCCCCCCCCCTTTTCCTTTCAGGGTGCTGCTATTGCTATGTATTAATGCAATTATAATATGTTTTAGCAACCTGCTTGGAGAATCTATTCTGGATAGAAAAATGACTGTGCTTTTTAAAATTAAGTAAATAATAACTAAATTCAACTCTTGTCTCTTCTATTCGTGGTGAATCTAACTCAGTGGCTGTGATCTTCTTTGGGCCATGAATGGTTAGGTGGCTTTTCATAGTGCACTGATGTAGGAGGAGAAGCAGTATGAACGAGTTGTGCCACTTCTAATGTGAAATGCAACAAGGAACTTTATGGCATGAAATGGGTAATCCCCATATTTAAAACGATCTTGCACATCCTTTCAAGTTCTCTTTCATACATTATGGCGGAAGCCTGGAAGGAATACTCCTCTTTGGTATTCTCTTTGCTTCTTTGGTTGTGGCACATGATAAATGCATATTGCATATGAGGTTATATTTCCACTGTAAGCCACCTTGAGTACCACCAGGGAGAAACGTGGCTAATAAATGTTTTAAATAAATAATATATTTGGTTTTCTTACAGATTTTCAGAGTATGGGATATCCATACACTTTCACTGATGCAAATTTTCCATGATACCCAAGCGGGACCCAGAGATGCACAGATCTTTACTATGGTATTTGACAATAACCACGGCATACTTATTACAGGTATGCTTGTCTAACTAATGAGTTCGAAATCTACCCCTTCTCTAAGAAGATGGTAAATATGCTAATAAATAATTCTAGAAGATAGACATTATCGTTCAGTTGACTTGTCAAGAACAAAAGGATTTCTTTAGAAATTAGGAAAACAAGTTGTTTTTAAAGAATTAAAGTAACTCTGTCCTCTAATTTTGAGAATTCTAGGTTACATACAGCAACTAATCCCCACTCTGCCGCAGAAGCTTGCTTGGTGATCTTGGGGTAGTCTCTCTCTCTCTCTCTCACACACACACACATATACACCCCATTCTGAGTTCCTTGGAGAAAGACAGAATAAAAATGAGATAAATTCACACTCAACACACACACTTTTTCACTTAAACACTCTGTAAAATAACTGCTGTGCTCAAGAGTTTGTGTTATTGGTTTATTGATTAAACCAAACAACACTTCTTCCCACAAGATCTGATCCTCTTGAAACAGGAGCTGCTTCAAGAGCTCAGGAAGCATCACCTTTGCATCTGCAGGGAGTACCCGTGTAGAAGCTGCCTACATTGTAGGAGCATCCTTGGCTTGGAATTGCTCAACATTTTATGAAACCTACCAACCAACCTTTTGTGATTGGCCCCAGCACGGCCATTTTGTGGTGGCACCCACTCCATTTTCTCAAATTTACAAAACTGATCACATGGTCAATGTAGTTGGAGATGACTGAGAAGATTCCAGTATGTTATGCAAAATGCTTTTGAGTCTGGGTTTTGTTTATTTTGTTTTTTCAACTTAGGGTAGTGCATTGTACATAGAGCAAACATTGCATCAGCAATTTTAATTTTTTTATTTATTTACATTATTTATAGTCTTTTCTTACTGAGAATCAAGGCTGATTACACAGAGCAAATCAATACAATCAACAAGATGAGACACGCAATAAATAATAAAATAGGATTTGTGCTGCAGAAATCTGAAACCAAGTAGAAATGTGAACAGAGCTGAAACAAAGCATAAGCATTAACATGACACATTAAATGTTGCAGAAATTACATGGTCGGATTCTACTCACAGCAACAGACAGTATGAACTATAAACAGTAGTATAGTCTCTAATCCTTTACCAAAGCATCTTTCTGAACTATTTCAATACAGCACAGCCCTATTACCTGTGTAAAAAAGTCAGGCCATTCCATAAGGTGGGGGCCACAACAGAAAATTCATGTGCGGGGGCAGTTATAGATTTTGCCTGTTTGCAGGGCATATGCACTCCTACAGTACGCCATCTGAAGCAACTAATTAAACTTCGTCAGGACTTTATGAATTATTTATAATTGAACTGTTTTAGATGATTTTATGTCGATGTTAATTGTTATTTATGTATTAACCAATGTTTAGCTGCCCTGAGCCTGCTTTTGTAGGGAGGGCAGGGTACAAATTAAATAAATACTGCTCTCTCAATCACTTTGCGCAGAAAGGACAGATTAGAGATTGGGTGATAATTGGCCACATCATTTTTCTGTTGGGATGGTTTTTAAAGTAAGTAGCCAAGGTAAGGAGCCCTGAGTTAGTGAACGATGTATGATAGAAACTAAGGGCTCAGTGTTGTGGTCTTTACATGATTTTGACAGCCCAGAAGAGTAAGGATCCAGGGCACAACTAGTGCTCCCAGAATCCTGTCAACATCCATCATGGAAACAGGGTCAAGACGGTTGATAACTAGACCAGACAATGTAGTAGACATTTCTTCTGATGGACGTATGTTATAGCTGGCATCTAGATCAGAGGACATTCGTGATATTTATTTTCAAGCAGCATTCAATAGTGGGCAAAATAACCAGTGTGTTCATGCTGTCTATTATACATTATCAGCTATTTGAAATACAGACTTAACATGTTTTCTAACATGACGTGGTATACTCATGAACAATTTTTTGCATTTATCCATACTATATGGTCCACAGGATCAGCTGTCATTGATATTTATCCTCTAACACGGATGATACAAGACACAAAGCAGGTCCCTCAGACGCATGAAAGGAACATCAATGTGCTGTTATACAATAAGCCCTTTCACCAAGTTCTTACAATCTGTGCTGAGTCTATTGTAAGAGTGAGTATAAATCCTGTCAGCCTTTCAAATGCAAAATCTATTATTTTGAATAACTTAAGAACAATTAAGCAAGTGTTAAACAAGAAACTTGCTTATTATGCAGATCATAATTTTGAAGCCATTTAAAGGCTTAATTCTCCTAAGGATTGATTATCTATGATAAATAAATGATTTAGTTGCAGAGCAGATGTTTTTGTGTTGGGAAACATTCAGCTGAACTGCAGACTCAAAAGTAATTACTTTTGCTTGTCTGTTAAGCTAGACAGAGGATGTTATTAATGGAAGCTCTTGGTCTTCCCTGTGGGTTTCCCCCCAGTTTTATCATCTTTTTTCTTAATTTAATATTTTGTACAGCTATTTAAGAAAGCAACAGGTATTTTATAGAAACAGGTATTTTATAGAAAAAAATAAAATACCTAATATATTAGCTTAGGTTGGATTGCATATAATTCACTTTATGTTTAGATCTGGGAACTGGAATCGGGGCAACTAATATACCAGATTGAGGATGCCCATGGGCCTGGTGTTGAGCTGACATGTGCGGCAATTGATAAAAATGGATTTCACCTTGCCACTGGAGCGTGCGATGGTAAAGTAATGAATAGTTGCTCACTACAATAACATCCAATTTAAAAATAATGTATTATATTAAGGACTATAAGACTAAAATATGTTTTCCACATTACCACACACTGCAATCCAAAGTAATGCTGTCTGGGAACAGTTTTACCAACTGTCTTGGTGTTTGTGTGGACCATTCCTCAGACATAAAAGTTACCATATGAGGACTGAGGAATCATCTCAGAAATTCACGTGAATGGCCCTACCTTGAAGAACACAAGTATAGCTCAGCTTGACTTGGAACTGGGTTCAAGTTCCACTTTAGTCATATTGGACTCATTCTGTTCCTGAATAAATATGTCATGGGGTTACTGAGTGCAGGTTGAAAAGAATGTCAGTTTCCCCACAGCTGAAAGACTAACATATCTATTTTAGGGTGAATTTTTATAGATAAGAGCCAGGCAACGCCACAGTGACTCTTCTGCTTTGCTCTATGGTCAGGGACTGTGAAAACATGGGACTTTGGCAGTGGACAACAACTGAAAGCATTGCCTGTATCCAAGGAAAGCTCTGACAATGAACACTGGCTGATCCAGATGACTTACCTGAAGGCTAGTGAGAGCAGACATGTGATCTTGGTCTTGGAGCACAGTGGGACAATCAAAATTGTTCAGGTATTTAACATTTTAATATGCTTTTTACTCTTCCATTTTGCAGTTATTAATTCTGATGGTCAAACATTCCTTCAAGGAATTAGCTTTATCAATAGCAAGCATTTAACATGTTGCTAAAGGTGGATCTGCATGGCTAAATTATCAATATTGTGTATGCTTCATGCCATTATAATAATATAACAGAACATTCTCATCTTCATTTAAAGCTATAGTTTTATTGTTTATTTCTCCCCCCATCTTTCTGCCCTTACTTCCTGTTCCATCCTTGTCCATAACCTTCATGCCTTCAGTTTGGCCACAGGCAGACACTAAGAGGTCTCCTGCTGTCTTCTGCAACTCCCTTGCTGATCCCCTTGTCTGGAACTTCTTACCAAAAGAGCTATGTGCTGCCATGCTATTCTTTTTCTTATTTCAAATCTCTCCACATTATATACCCTTTCTGCGAGGCTTTTGGCATGATCCCTCAAGCCTCCTCCCCAAGAGGAGCTAACCCTGAAGATGTCAAGAGAAACTAACCCTCAGCATGTAACTGCATTTGCTCCTATTTATCCTGTTACTCTTGGCTCTGCATTCCCCTCCCTCCTTTTGGTGTTCTGCTGAAACATGGATTGTAACTTCCCTACAGCAGATAATATTCTTTTTGTTAATGTTACACTGTAAAGTGCCGTGGACCCTCAAGGAACAATGTAAATATTTGCCATGCTATTAGAATATCATAAGCATTCAGTGCCCCAGCCCAGCAGGAACTCATTAGTATAATAGGCCACACCCAACAGCAGGAACTCATTAGCATATTGGGCCATACCCCTGACAGCACAGCTCATTAGCACATTAGGCCACACCCCCATGTTACCAGAAGTGTGGTTATCCAGCCACACCCACCTTTTGCTTGTTATTCTGTTTACCTTGTTTGTTGTCAAAACCCAGGGCTTTTTTGTAGCAGGAACTCCTTTGCATGTTAGGCCACACACGCCTACGGTAGCCAGTCCTAATGAGTTTCTGCTGTTGGGTGTGGCCTATTATGCTAATGAGTTCCTGCTGGGCGTGGCCAACTCAGGAGCCAGCCGGAACTCCGTTCCTGTGCGTTCCTGCCCAAAAATAGCCCTGGTGCCCAGTATCTGGACATTATTTTTTATTCACTTCTCCAGTTCAGATATATAATCCCAGTGTGACAGATCCTTTAAAAAAGATTTCCAAGACTGTTTTTTCATGGTAATATAAAATGATTCCTCAGTGTTGCTGGTGGGAATCACTTTTGCCTTGTCCATTGTTTAAGTCAAGATATTTATTTACATAAAATATTTCTATCCCACCATATCTCAAGTCAGGTTATTAAATCAACAACAATTTACAAACACAGAAACAATATAACAATCCATCATCAAGATAAAAACAATGCACAGGTTAAAAACACACCCCAGTCTGCTAAAACAATTTACCCTCTGCCAGTTGCCCTCTGAAATAAAAACATCTTACCTGCTATAGCAGACAGGAGGCTGTCCTGCCCCTGAAGGGATAAATAGCCAATCAGCTGGGCTAATGGGAGTGCTGTTCCAGAATCCAATCACCTTTCAGAGGGGGGATGCAATGTTGGAGGGAAGCACAGCTACAGTTCAGTTGAGTTCTGTCTCAGGGAGAGGGCAGTGATAGTTTTGTGCCTGCCTCGGCAAGAGAGCAGTTTGAAGGGTAGCTCTGCCTGGTATTTATTTATTTAATTCATTTATACCCCACCTTTCTCCTGCATGCAGCACATAAACCAACCCAAACCAGAAAAGGTCAAGAGGATTGGATTAAAAACCAAGTATTTATACATTTTATAAAGCGACCACTGACAAAGACCATACATTGAACTGTGTTTGGTTTACCACAGTAATGTTCCACAGATTTATAGATATGTTGTTGGTTTATTAAAGGATATCCAGTTTGTTTAGATGGTATTGGTTTCAAAGAGTGTCCGTGATTTTTATCTGTATCTTTGCTTCTCATCCTTTTCTGGTTTGGCTTGGACACATACAGCGTTTTCAGGGAGATTCCCATTCTCTCAAATGATGCTTCAGAGTATTCCCTATATAGTTTTATCTCTCCATCCGCCCCCCAAGGTCCTCTAAAGGCCATGGGCCATCAAATATGTACACTGGGTACCAGCACTATGGCTGCTGTTTGCATTGTTCATCTACAACACTCATCTCCCAGTACAACAGAAATGTATCTCCCCCCCCCCTCTCCTCAGTGGCACCTTTAAGACCAACTATGTTTAACTCTGGGTATAAGCTTTCGTGTGCATGCACACTTCATGCACTTCGTTCTGTTGCTTCAGACCAATGCAGCTAACCACTTGAATCTAGATTAGAAACCTGTTAGTAACCTGAGAATTTATCCCACTTATTTGATTAAATAAATCATGCAATTTAATTGTCAAATGCATATTTCCTGCTATTCTTCACGTGTTTGTTCTTCTAGAGTAATGAAGGTGAACCTAATCTGTGTATTACCTGGAGTCTTCCTGAAGCCCTGTCACTGGCACTTCAAGGCAATCCACTAATGCCCCTAAGACTGAGCCCCATTACCAGGAAAGCAAATGGATTTTTTCCAGATGTTCAACTATTGCCTGAGAAGGATCCTGTTGAAGCAGATATGGAGGTGAAAAGTGTTTTCACACCTTTAGAGAATTCTAAATTCTACAAATGGTCAGGTAGCCTGTAAGTAGCTTAACCAGTGCTTTAGAGCCTGGCTGCATCTTATTATGTGACAGGTATATATGGGCAGTGTCATCTGGCCACTAGTGTACTAGCAGAGCTGCTGGTTGGCTCCCTGTGACCATTCTGTGGTGGTAGGGGAACAAAAGAGCCCCCCACCAGGCATGTACCCATAGCGAGCACACCACAGCCCCTAGCAGCTCTGGCAGCACCCACCAGTCATGGAGCTGTGGCCAATGACTTCCATCTGAGTGCCACAGACACGGCCAACCAATGCCAGCCAGTGCAGCCACAGCTCCTGGACGTCATACCCTCCCACCTGTCAGATGGAGTGTCCAAGTGACAGCATGGTCAACTTGCCAGCAGAACACAAGACAGAGGCAGGGCTTGAACTCACAGGCTCAACACACAAGATGAGTGCCCTAATCACTGGGCCCAGCAGGAACCTGCAAAGGTGGAATTCATCAAGCATTGAGCATTCCACTGCATCTCTGATGTCACCACCAACCATATGCAGCTGGGCAAGGAACATCACAAAATCAGGTGTGGCCTAGTGAAAGGCACTGAGGCAGCATGGCCAAGCCCCTGTCTTAATCCCCACATGGGGAGAGGGCAGGCAATATCCCCCCACTGCTAACTGAAAAGGAGAGGAGGGGACAGTCCAGCTGATGAGCCACCCAGGACTAACATTTTGGCTGTCACACCCTTTCACAAACCTTCTGTACCACATACAAGGACCTGTTGTCCTAGCCCTCCTTGCATCCCAGCTCCCCCTCCATCCAGGGACTCACTTTGCAAGGGCACATGGTTCCCCTCAGACAACTCCCCCATCCCATCCCTCCGGCAAACTGCACTTCGCAGCCAGCAGCATATGTGAGTGGGAGGCACGTGGGGACTGTCTGTTGTAGCTGAAAACAACAGAAGTCCAATGGCACTGTGAAGAGTGAAAAAAACACCCCAGCATTAGCCTCCCATGAATCAGAGCCCACTCCCTCAGATGTGTGCAGAGGAAGTCATTCAGTGACATCACATGGGACACAACATGAGGGGTCTGGAAGTGGGAGGAGTCAGGGGCAAGCCTCAACTGCCTGACACCAAACAGACAAGGACACAGCTTTGGAACACTCCAGACTTTATTGAACAGCAGCTGGGAAGTAGGAATGAGGCCCACTGAGCAGAGCTGCAAAGCTCCTTTGTCCAGTGCAAGCTGCTCCATGGAGCCATAGGGAGATAGGGCGAGCCCTCTATCATGATGTGCTTGTGAGTGGGGCAGACATGGCAGATGGATGGCTGTCTGGACATCCTGAAGGTACAGCAGGTAGGCTGGAACCAGTGAGATAGCAGCCCCATGGCAGAGCGGCAGGATCCACAACAGTCACCACAGCCAGACCATACTGCACTGGGAATGTCGTCCTCCCGGCTGTCCTCCCTGTTGGATCACCACCTGCACATATGCAGAAGAAAGACATAGGTAATGATGACAGACAGCTATGCCTGTGGGACAGCAACAGAGCCTATAGTGCCATGGAGAGGGCTCTATTTGCTGGCATTCCCCTTCAGGGCACCCATCCCACCCCTTTCCCCTGAATGGAGTAACACTTCAGTTGTCTCTATTCCATTCATGGGTGCTGCTGCATAGTCCTCCTACCCTACAAGACAACAGGGGCCATGGGTGCTTGGCCAGCAGCTTCACTAGGCACAGCTGTCAGTCAGCCCAAGACCCAGCCATAGTTAGTCCTCTGCCGGGAGGAGATGCCCTGGCAATAGACCATGCTGCCAGCCTGATATGGGGCTTGCAGCTTCCCTGCCAGCCTCGCTCCATCATAGGCAGCACTCCGGGGCAGATTCTCCTGGGTGAACACCACCCCAGTTGCATGCCAGAGGGCATACTGGTGGGTGGCCTGATGGATACACACACATCATTAGCCTTAGCTGCGAAGCCCACATTTTTGAAGTGGTGCACAGGTGTCAGTTAACACTGCCATGTCTTTGGAATGTGTGGGGAGTGATCCCTCCTTCCTGGTACACGAACGATGTCTCCTGTCTGGGTTGTTATCTGTGTCTGCTTTTCTGACCTTGGGGTTCCAGCTGCTCCTGACCTGCTGGGAACAAACGGCTCATTTTTCTCCTGCTCACTTTTCTCCCACGCGCGGGGGACCATGCACAATGCTTATTGGCTTCGGCTTGTATTGGGGGGGGGCTTTGAAACTACTATAACTTTGGGTGACCTGCTGCTTTGGGTCATTCCTGACAAAAAATGTTCAAGTGTCATAGTCATGAACTACCAATAAACAGAATACTTCTTATGAAGCGCTGTGTGGTGTGATCTGACTATAGAACCTGACAACAGGGTAGGTGTGATAAGGAAGGGAATGGTGAGTGCAGACTCTCAATACAAGGCTGTTGGATCTCTGCCCCTGCTTACCTGTCAGGGGTGCACTGCTTTCTTCCTCTTAGGGCATGTGCTCAGCTCTTCGGTGTGTGTCTGCAGAGATGAGGTACCTGTGTGGGTTCTTCACAGAGACACATTAGTCAAACTGCATCAGTGTTCATTTTCCCTCTTTCCCGTGGGTGTAAGTGCTAAGTGCCTGCTCTGTGCTTTCCCTTCCCACAATCAAGGTGCAATGCTGCATGCTGTAAGTGTGCACATCAGGGGCGTGGAAGACAGAGCCCCATGCTGTGCACCCTAACATGTTCTAAGCTATGGCACTGGTGTGATCTGACTATAGAACCTGACAACAGGGTAGGTGTGATAAGGAAGGGAATGGTGAGTGCAGACTCTCAATACAAGGCTGTTGGATCTCTGCCCCTGCTTACCTGTCAGGGGTGCACTGCTTTCTTCCTCTTAGGGCATGTGCTCAGCTCTTCGGTGTGTGTCTGCAGAGATGAGGTACCTGTTAAAGCCAGTCGAGTCCGACTCTAGGGTTGCGGTGTTCATCTCCGTTTCAAAGCCGAAGAGCCAGCGCTATCTGAAGACATTTCCGTGGTCATGTGGCCGGCATGACTAAACACCAAGGCACATGGAACGCTGTTACCTTCCCACTGAAGTGGTACCTATTTATCTACTTGCAATGTCTTGCTTTCGAACTGCTAGGTTGGCAGGAGCTGGAACTAGAGACGGGAGCTCACTCCGTCATGCGGCACACTCAGGTCTCGAACTGCTGAACTACCGACCTTCCACAGCCTGTGGTTCAGCGTCTTAACCACTTGAGCACCTTAAAGACTAACAAAATCTGTGGTAGGATATGAGCTTTCGTGAATCACTGAAGAAGTGAGCAGTGACAGATGAAAGCTCATACCCAACCGCCAATTTTGTTACTCTTTAAGGTGCTCCTGGACTCTTACGCCTCTCTCCTAAAATGTATGTACAATGTTTAGTTTTAAGTGCTGTATAATTGCTTTAGTTCATATCTATTATTATTTCAATCATCAGCCTTGTCATGGTTCATAAGTCTTTTTTTTATGCATCCTCTAGAATCCTTTACCACCTGAAGCAAAAGTGAAGTGCTTTGATGTGCTGAGAGTTGAAGGGTATAATTTGTTAGCAACTGCAAGTGCAAATGGTGCTATCATCATGTGGGATTTCGAATCTGCCATCGCCAGACACATGTAAGTTACAAAGGATGCCAAGAAGCGCCCACAGAGTGAATAAAACTCTATGTGGGAAATGCCATTGTTAGGAGAGTCGGCTCATATTCTCACAAATGTTCTACCTCACTTTCCAGACAAAATTTGAGAACAGCATGTAATCATTACAATAACATTTCTAAAAAAAGATTTTTAAGATCATGATATAAAATCATATCAAAGCCTAAACAATAAACAGGGCAATAAAACCACCAGGGATGAAAAATCAGAATTAATGAAGTAAATCCAAACCTTGATTTTTTGAATGAATACATGTCTTTACCATGTCCAGATAGGGTTGCCAACAGGCCTGGAGAAAAATGCCCTGTCCTTTTAATAGAGGTTGATGTTTAGACATGGGCACACATGAAGCTGCTTTATACACAATCGAATCATTGCTCCATCAAGGTCAATACTGTCTACTCAAGACTGGCAGTGGCTCTCCAAGGTCCCAGGCAGAGGTCTTTCACATCCTCTACTACCAGGTCTATTTAATTGGAGATGCCAGGGATTGAAACTATGACCTTCTACATTCAAAACAGATGCTCTGCCACTGAGCCACAGCCCCTCCTCAAGTATAGCTGGCAGCTGAAGCTTTTCCTGGTATGGAGGTAAATAACATTACCTGATAAACAATATCCATCAAACCTCTACTAAAGGGACAGGATATTTTCCCCCTTTCAGGCTCTCAGTAGAGAGGGAGCCAGGACTATCACTTGTGGGAGGGCAAGTGCTACTGTGATTGTCCTGGTTCCCTGGAGTAAGGTTTCTCTAGCTAATCCTGAATTTCAGGGAGGTTAATACAGGAAACTCCCTGAGATACATAAGAAAAACAGGGCTTTATAGGCCAAAACCGCTATGTTGAATTGGGCCTGGAAAAATACTGGTAGCTTTTGAGGTTGTTTTAATATAGGTATTCTGTGATTTTGCCAACTAATACTTAATATCAGTGCGCAAGTGGAGCAAAAAAAGTGCTCCTGCAGAGTGCAGGGGGTTGGACTAGATGAGCTGCAAGGTGCCTTCCAACTCTAACATTCTATGATTCTATCTATGAAAACACTTGCCAGTTTCTGATTGCCTCCATTCACTGCCAAATGCAGACCTCTATTAAACGAGAGGTCACTGGGACATCAATGGCAGCAACCAGCTCTTTGTCTTTCTGCAGAAGGCCCAGATGGCTAACCAGCTGGAGTTAGTAGTGCTGGCAGAGTTTAAACACGCAAAGGAAGGGGAGCACTGAGTGTTTAGAGAAAAATGTGTAGGTTTATTAAGGGAGAACAAACTGCTTTGGAACACAGGAGAGAGAGAACCTTAACTGTCTAAACTACCTGATGAAGGAGGAACAACAACAGAAGCTCTGCAGGACCAGGAAATCTTCAGAAGAGCCAATCAGGAAACAGGAAGGAAATAATTTGAAAATGTGGGTGTCCCTAATCTAGCTATGCTAACTAGCAGTCCTTCAGCTGTCCCCCTGTAGGGTGATCTTCTGATCTTCATAAGGCTGCACAATAGACCTTGTATATTCTGAGCTGCAATCTAGTACCTGGGAATCCTGGAGCAAAGCTGGGTCCAACAGTATTCCCAAACTGCGAACCTTATTCAAAGAGACTCTAACCCCCACCCCAAACAGGTTGTCTCCTTCTAAATTTGCCCACTCTCACTCATTCCATTATGTTTGGATTGGGTTTGAGATTGTTCAAGCTCTGTGGTCCATCACAGAGCTCAGGCACCAGTTCAGGACTGACACTGCCTGCCCTAGGGTTTGCTTTTGTGACAATGAGCCACTGTTGCTGGCCCTACTGCCTTTACTCAAGCCAACAAGGGTATTAAGTACTTCCCTCTGGACACAGCTGCCACATAATTGTACCACAGTGCAGGTAATGGGAGAGAATATTTAGCTGGTACCATGTCATGAGGTACAATTGGACTATTTTCTCGCTGGGGTAGCTTCCTAGGCAATATCTCAAAATTTTGCACTACAGGCAGAAGACATTACTTGCCCTCATCCTTAGTCTACTTATCCTAGCATACATAAACACATCCTTTCCTGCTTCAAGGGATGCTTATATAAACACAGGTGCTTTCCAAGGGAACAGCATGGCCCTTAGTCAACCTCAGGTTAAAAGTCCCCTGGAAATGCCAGTTAGGTTTCCCAAGAAAGGTCATGGACAATTGACCCTACCCTTTTCACCTTCCTTACATCTACCCTTTGTCTGGAAAAGCACGAATCTTTTCTAACCCTTCTCTCCAAAGAGTAAGAGACCAATTTCTCAAGGACAAAATATGATCTAGAAGTACAAGCACAATTTTCACATAAATGGTTTGTTTGTTTTTTAAATTAAGACCAGGGGACGTGGCATCGCCGGTGATGGCAGCAGACGCCTAAATCTGTGCTCCACTCTTCCCTCCTGACCCCTTTTTTCCCCATTTTATGGCCACTGAGGGGTGACTTTGCAGTCAGTAGCCAATGGCCCAAGGTATCTGAATGTGGTTTTGAGCTGCATCTTTTTCTGTTCCAGTGTGGGTTTGGAAAAACAATGGAGCAAATGCTAGATGCAGAATGGGCCCCAGAGAGTGTCCTGCTAGATGCATGGAACTCAAATTAGTTGGATTCAGAGTTGCCTGGAGAAAAAAGTGTCCTGTCCTTTAATAGAGACTTAATGGAATGTAATTTAACAGGTGATGTTATTTTCCTAAATGCCATTAAAAGCTTCAGCTGCCCATTTACACCCATTAAGGCCTGCTAGGGATGCCAGTCCCCAGGTGGGGGCAGAGGACCCCCTGATTTTGGGGGCTCCCCCTAGACACCGGCCAGTTGGCGAGAGGGGGTAAGCCCACCCCCAACGGTCATCTGCAGCCCTGCTTTAAAAGAGCAGGCACTCTGTGTGCCTGATCCATAAGCCTTGAATATGCATCTTGCAGGGCAGGCAGACGGGGGCACCCACTCTTTTCAAGCAGGGGCCACTCACTCCTGCCCTGCAAGTGGCAAATTCGCAGCCTAAAGGGCAGGCACGTGGGGCACCCACTCTTTTCAAGTGGGGGCCATGTGCGCCTGCCCTGCAAGTGGTGAATTTGCAGCTTACAGGGCAGATGTGCACTGTGCCTGGCTTTTCCCAACCATTTAAAGGGAAGGTTCCCTCTGAAGTTTGGTTGGGGGAAAGTGGGCGGTGTGCTCATGGGGTGCTGTATCACCAACACGATGTCATGCTGCATGATGTCATCACATTGGGGATGGACCCACTCCCTCCTGGCCCCACCCCCCAAATCCCCCCGCTGGGACCTGGCAACCCTAAGACCTGCTTTGCTCTAAAGGTTTCTGAAAGATTGCAGCAATGCCTGGATGGCTGCCATGGGGGCAGGCAGGGCCGGATTTAGACTTGCTGAGGCCCTAAGCTATACAAAACCCAGAGGCCCCCTACTGTTTTAAATCACATCAGCTGGTCTCAGAAAAATTTAAAATATATACACCTTTTTAATATTTGAAATCATTTTTTATATTGTGTTTTTATTCGAGGCCCCAGCAGATTGCGAGGCCCTAAGCTGTAGCTTATTTAGCTTATGTATAAATCCGGCACTGGGGGCAGGAAAGTTTAGATTTACCTGGGCCCACCCACATGGCAGCCTAACAATGTGTAACAGGCTCTCTGAATTCCCAGCTTTCATCTTTTTAAAGTACGTCTCTGGCACCTTTTGTTGGAGAGATACAAGATGAAAGGCAATGAAAGGGACTAGAGACTTGCTTGTTAAAAATGAAGTCTGGGAATCAGAGAACCTGTTACACATACGGTTAGAACATTATATTAATAGAACAATATTAAATAACCTTTAAAAAAACTAAGCCCCCAGGGGTGATGCTATGGGGCCAGGGCAGGAAACAATGGGAAAACCTGCCTGTGGAATCCCCGCTGCCCCTGCACTGTAATGGCAGCTGGGCAGTAATGGGGAAACTATACATGTTTGTCCTCATGTGGAAAACACCTAAATCTCTGTTAAAGGGACAGGACACTTTTCTTCTGGCCCGTTGACAATCTCCACCTAAGGGGGAAAGGTTCATAACTGTAAAATTCAGGGAACTTTTACTGCAACTAAATCTGAATTATGTGCCTTGGAAAGTAGAAATGATTACAAATTAATTCTCTCTGGATTGTGCCTCAGTTTATGTTTTAAAACTATGGACACAAATATGCTCTTTCTCAATCGAAAGCCATGTGAACTTGGAATAATATGCAGTGAGATTCCAGAAGCCCTATGGGGCAGTACATGGGCCTTTTAGGTTGAGTCATTTGCATGTTTTCTTATACACAAACTATATGTGCTCAAATTTTAAAGTGTAATACAGAAGCAGGCTGTTTATCACAGCCCTTCGATTCCGTGCAGGAGAAATGTGCATTTTATCAAATGAGTGTGGAAAAATTACAGAAAAAAATCTTTATTTCCAGATTCAAAGCTGGCCAGGCTGTTGAAACAGATGGCTCTGACGTACTTGGAATCAATATGCTACTGTTCCTCTATCGAAGTGCTCTTTCTGTGAGGTAGGTAAATTGTATAACAGGTGTGTGTTATGTCCACTGTCTTAGGAGGCTCTCCTAGGTTAGGAAAAGTGACCTACAGCTTTGCCTTTGATACTCATCCCACCAAACTCTGCAGCCTTACACTAGGAAAGCAAAGGCTGTGCTTGAAGAAGTACATTGTTTCAGGTTTTCACAGTAATAAATCCCAGGAGGCAGTTAACTTCTTTGGCACAGTTTAATTTTTCTTATTTGCTACTACTTGTGGCTATAATTCGTAGGACTTAAATGATGTTAGATAAAGCCAGCCACATACTAAGCCCTGATTTTCAGTGCTGATGCTCTCCACTATCTGGGAATTTATTTTGCTCGTATTTATTGAGAATTCAATTTATCCCAATGGTGCATATTCCCAAGTAACTGTATTAGGGGAATACTCTCTGCAGCATAAACCGTGGGGGCATGTTTGCCAGGTCAGCAGCAGAACCTGTTAAGAAACCACCACCACAAGAAGCCCTGCCCACTAATGCCTCAGAAAGGGAGAGGGAGGGGGTAGTGTCTGTCTGTCCACTGGTCCTCCTCTCTTAGCAGTAGTACACCAGCCATCACTACCTGCCACAGTGGAGGAGGCTTAGCCTAGGTGCAGCAGCTGCCCTTCATCACAGGCTCTCCCTTTCCCACCTCACCCCTGCAAAAGAAAATTATTTTTTCAGTTAACATTCCTTTACATTCATTATTATTTATGGTGCTCCTGTGGGTTCTGCTGGTTTCTGTCTGGAGGCTGCTTGGCATCTACCCTACTCTACCTTGTTCATATGGGGAACAATTTTTGTGCTGCTGTTTTAATTTCAGCATGCAATTTTGGTTTGGGGTGGCTGGTAGTGTAACTTAGGTGCATACGTGTACCACCCTCAACATCACCCTGCACTGCACAGCTACCAGGGTTCTGTAGAGGTATATATGCTGCAGGTGGGATGGATGGAAGTGGGGAGATTGGTGGGGCATTTCTGTGCCAATGAAAATGGTAATGGCCCTGGCTGCTACTTCTCCATAGCCTCTCTAGTTTTAATCATGGGAAGAGCATTGTAACCCAGCTTCCCAGCAGAGACCGGGAGGGGATGCAAGCACAAGTATGTCTGCTCACTTCAATCACCCTCAAAGTCTAGGACCGGGAAACCGAACAGTGGCAAGTTGACCTTCAGGAAGACCAACTGCTCAACTGACCAGGGGAGCAGGCGTGAGCGATGCGAGCTAACAACCGCTCTCACTCTGCACGCTTGTTGGAGGGCATGAGAGGAGCTTCTGGGCCACGGCAGAGAGGTCCAGCCAGACTGCCTCCTTCATGGCCCAGTAGCTCAGTGGACAGGTTGCCTGCGACTTGTAGGGTTCCGAAAGGTACTCATGAGAGCAGCTTCTGGGCCACGGCAGAGAGGTCCAGCCAGACTTCCTCCTTCGTGGCCCAGTAGCTCAGTGGACAGGTTGCCTGCGACTTGTCCGGTTCTGAAAGGTACTCCCTCACCATCGCAGCTGCTGTATCCTCTCTCATGCGCCTGCTGCTCCCAGGAGAGGGGCCAAAGATTCGTCCAATGACTGCCATTTCAACAGTCGTCATGGCGGGAGCCATGATTTTTGGGGTATGACCTTTTGAGAGTCAAAGTTCCCTGAGTATCTGATGAAGGGAGCTTTGGCTCTCAGTAGGGTTGTCAGGTCCCCCCGGGGGGGGGGTGGCTGCTCAATGGGCCACACCCACCAGCCCATATTGGGCCACCAGGGGGAACCCCACCCCCAAAGTGCCAGGATCGCAGCAATATGCCCAGCGTGATGATATCACCTGGAGGTGATATCATTGTGCGCCGGGCATGTTGCAGGGGGGATGCTCTATCATTAGAGGGAAAAGTCTACGGTTTCCCCTCAAATGATAGTGGTCCCACCCCCAACATGCCTGACATGATGACGTCACCTCCAGGTTATGTCATCACGGTGCGTGTGCCGGAGAAGTCCCAAAGAGGGCCAGGACTCTCCCGCTGCAGCTACAGGTAGAACCTGGCAACCCTAGCTCTCAAAAGCTTCTACCTTGAAGATCTTCTTGGTCTCTAAACTGCTATTAGATTCAAATCTAGCTCTGCATGATGAAGTCAATCCTTTTTCCTTAAAGCTCCACATTTTTCTCCTCTTATAAAGATATTTAAAATGTATTAGAAAGTATTAATCTGTTACAGATGTGTTAAAAAAGAATATGGTTTGCAAGATCATAAAGGTATTCTTTATGAATCTGCAGCTCTTAGTTGTGTTTAGCGTCCTCTAAGCTAAGGCCCCAGACTTACCTGGGCCCCATTTGTGGGCCTGCTGGGTTGAGGAGAGAGGCAATCCAGCAGTGTTCAGGCCATCTAGGGCCAGCAGTGCAGCTGAGTAATGGCTGGGGAGTTCTACACAGCTACATGGGCTCCCCAGACTTCCCCTCAGCCTAGCCAAACAGGATCAGCTGGCAGGGCCACAGGGGCAGGAACCCAGGCCAGCAGACCTCACAGAGGGAGTTTTCCTTCTGGTCCACCTGGCTGTGTTAAAAGGGCCCCGTTGTGCTGCCTGGCCCAGTCAACCTCGTGGCTTTTCCTATCCACCCCTCCCTTTGTTTTTAGAGTCACCAATGTGTTATTTCAGGTGCTTGTTTGGCTTGGTTTTTTTCTTGGCCCCTTTTTCTCTGTCACAACTGCATCGGGTGGTATCAGCATCCATTTTCAGGGGGAAGGCAGCCTGCGGGCCTGTTTCTGCCATATTTGGGGATCCCCTTAAGGGAGTTTAGGGTGAGACCTTACAGGGGACATGCCCAGCTCAGGGGCTATCAAGGCACCCTCACTCTGAAGTGGCGGAGGAGACCATGCATTGGCCTGCGCCCATATGGAATTCTTGCATCCTGCCATCCCATGGTACATGGGCTGGCAGGCAGGTTGGCCAATGCCTGGATCCATTGCTCCACGCTGTGCCAAGGCTCTTACAGCTACTGTAACCAATAAAGTTGTGGCCATTTTCAATCCAGAAGGTTGTCTGTTGTTTCTTGCATTACTGGGAATGGGTGGTTGCCTCACTGTCTCCTCACCCGTTTTAGCACTAGGACCACAATACTGTTTTTAACCTCTTAACATTCTGGGCCGCCTGGCTGCTGTCTTCCATGCAGGCAACTAAGTCAGTCCTCCACCTACAGTTCAGAGCCTCAGAGCGATGAAACTCCTACACAGGACACAGAAGGCGACAGCAGCAACTTAAGCATAAAGAGGGTATGTCTCCATTTCAGTTTCAGTGACTGCCAAGAATCCTGATTAAGATTTTATGTTTGCACCACGGAAGAGTCTGATTCTGTGATTCTCAGTTAAGATGGGAAAGGAGGCACCCAAAGGTTATTTTCTTAAACTCAAATAAGAAAACACGCAGGAGCCAGGAATGTTATAGAGCTGATATTCACAGGCCCGTAGCTACAGTGGGGCCTCCCAGGACCTGGCCCCCTGATTTCCTTCCGAGGCCCCACTACTTCCTACCTATCCCAGGCCCCCTGACTCTCTGGGCTGTTCTGAGGACTCCCTGCGCCACTGCCACCGCTTCCCTCCCTGCCAGCAGCTCTGCCAGCTCCATCCCAGGCTGGCAGTTGGGGGGGGGGAGGCTGGGCTGGGGGTCATGAGCTGGTGGCAGCACAGGGCTCCCAGGTGAGGAAGCGGTGTGAGGTGGGCAGGCCAGCAGGCGAGGTGGGACCCACAGAAACCTTTGGCAGTGCTCAGAGGCTGGCAGTGCTGGGGTGCCTCAACGTCCTCTTCTGCCTCCTCCTCCTATGCCTGGGTGCCCAGCTGGAGCACCGGTGGATGCTAACTCTGCAGCCCCTGGCTTCCAGGGCATGTTGTAGGGAGGGTCTGGGAGTCACGAGCTGGCAACAACAGTGGCACGGGGCTCCCAGGAGAGTAAGCGGCGCAAGGTAATTAGGCAGGCGGGCCGGCAGGCAAGGTGGGGTTGGCAGGAACTTTTGGTGGGCTCAGAAGCCAGTGGGGCAGGGCCAGGGCACCTCTTCCTCCTCCTCTTCTGCCTCTCCTTCTTCCTGTGCCTCCTCTTCTCCCTGTGCCTGGGTGCTGAGCCAGAGCACCAGCAGAGGTCAGCTCTGTGGTGCTAGGCTTCTAGGTTTTTTTTAAAAACACCCTTTTATTTTACTTTCAGTGCTCCCTGAATTATTTAATGGCCCTCCAATTTAAGAAATCCTGGCTACAGGCCTGGATATTTATGTGTTGTTTTAAACTGCACACCAACAGCATTTCCAGCAATAAAGATGAAAGAAACACAAACACAAACATCCTTTGAAGGAGAATAGCCAACTTTTGCATAGGCAATATTTAATCCATTCTATTAAAAAAATCTTCCTCTCATTGTTGCATACCAGCTCTTTGTTCAAGGGACAGAATTGGGCCAGGTTATTTGGCCAATAGGTAGCCCTGCCTATGCATGAGAGAAACAGCTGGGCACCACCTGCATGACAGAAAACACTGCAGGAATCATTCATACAAAATAAACAGAAGTCTTGTAGCACCTAACAGACAGAGAGAGAATGTTTTAAACAGGATCACAGTCAAAATATGGTACCAGAACAAAATAGAGAAATCTTTAAAGAAAGATGGAGGAAACTAAGTAAAGAATGTAAATGGGTGTTTACCTTTCCCCCCTCCCCCGTAATCTGGCTCTCACTGAACATTTGATAATTATTTATGGTCCTGTTATCTCACTGAGATAATTAAATTGGAAACTTTTTCAAGACTGATTATCGGAGAGTGGAAGTCTAGTTAATTTTTTTGTAGATGTTACATATATAAAAGCTCTTACTTCAATTATATTCATATAGATCTGGAAATGTAAAAGCCATATTTGATTACTCAGTCTGCTGTTACTCTGCTTTATTCTGTTTCTTTAGCGTATAATGTATGTGAGTATATGTCTATGATTTTTATTGAAAATACAGATTGCACAAAATGAACATATAGAACTGCATAAGATTGGACTGATTAGTATTGAACATTCTATGAGATCAACATGCCTGACCCTTAAATTAGTTTTAATTTCTCCCAGCATAAAGATAGGTACATGCTCCTAAATTATCTGTAGCAAATCTGAACAAATCATTTCCCATAAATCAATATACCAAAGTGTCAGGAGGTAAAGGGTGAGCCCCTCCTGCCTACGCTGGATGCATCCCCTTCAGCAGTCGACAGCCAGCTAAGCAAGGAGTAGGACCCTTCCCAGGAGGTCCTGGAATCCTGGCCGGATGGCCTAGCAGAGGATGCCCAGCTGGAAAAGGAGGAAGAGCAGAGCACTCAGGAGACTGGGCAACGCAGCAAGGGGCTGGGAGGCAAAGAGATGGGTGGGAGAACGCAGGGGAGTTTACTAGCATGGCTATATGCCTTTAAGGAGTGGGCAGTGGGGGACGCAGGTGAGACAGCTACACCAAATAAAGAGAACCACAGGTGGAAGCTGAGAAGGACTGGTGGGCGTTCGGGAAAGGAGGCGGAGAGGAGGGAGCTGCGGACCAGGAAGGTCGAATCCACTCGCACCTGTCGGCCCGAACCCAACTGGGAATCTCTCGAGTGAAGTAACTGAGAGACCTAGTCTGAGGCGACCCCTGGACTTTAAGGTTTGGCTGTCGTCCTGGACGTCCTGCATGACCCACTCCTATCCCAAGACCCTCGGAACACTGACACAAAGTCCTCCTATCTACAAACATGGTGTTTTAAAGAACACCAGCAGAGGGTACAGGATGGGTCTGTGGAAATATTCTCAAATAATTCTAATTATAGTGACACTGGACAGAGATTACTCTGTAGCCACTTTTGTGTAACAAGTAATGGAGGCTTTGTAAAACGTATAATAATGGGGATGCAAGTGTAATAGAAAAATGAATCAGGGACACATGATACTTCACTCTGTTTTCTCAACATCCCCAGAAGCAGATGCTCTGTTAAAAGTACAAGCTGACTTTTGTATATTTTTGGCCTGTGCTGTGAAGTGTTGTTCATTTTATGTAGATGAGTCATTTTGAAACAGAGAAATTACTGGTGCAAGCTGATATTCGGCATGTAGAGAGCCAGCATTTCAATTTTCACTGACTCTGGGGCCCAGAGGACCTCCAAGTGACCCTTCTTTTCATAGTTTTGTGGACATATTTCTCAACTTTTTCTCATTTCATTACATTCTGACACATTTCCCCCAAATACTGCCTATTCCTTGTAGATTCCTTATGTAGATTCTCATTTCCCCAAAGTTTTGTAAGTGCAGAATTGTTAAAAAAAATTATTCGGCAACTGGAACAGTGTGCCCTTGTCAGCATTCCTGGGAAGTGCTTTTTCTTAAAATATCAGTGACTGAAGGATTCTATCTCCACATGTACATTGTCTGATTTCCAAATTTCTAATATAATGTATGTGTTATTGTATGATTTCAGGAAGGTGTTAAAAATGAGCCATCCATTGCAGCAAATACTCCAGGTAATGATTCAATATTTACTTCTGGATGTGGCAGAATGGCTTTTATGTTAAAAGGGGGGAAAACATTAGAACTGTGGTGAGAAAGTAACAATGAATTCTATTCCAATTCCAAAGCGGTAAGCCAAGAATTAACAAAACTACCAGATTCACCTAACTTGGAGAACAAGGGATTACTCAATGTATTAGAAGCTGGAGTAGAACAGAAACACATTCCTGTCCTTGCCTCTGCTCATGAAGATGGTTGCATTTATCTCTGGACTATAAAGGTAGGATCTTTTGCATGGCTAGGCTTGTGTGAGACAAGGTGTTCAATGAGCATATAAGAAGGATTCTTCTGTATCTTCCATTTCTCCTGTCACCACCCTTCTCCATTCTTAGAGAAAAACGTGAAACTATTTCCATTTTTGCTATTTTTTTAAAAAAGGGAAAAAGGACAAGGCAAAAAGGACAACACATACTTTATACTACATAATAGTCCAATTACATGAACTTCATAAGCATCTAAGGAGCCCTTCCAACTTTACTTTAGCTGCCCCAGTTCTCAGGAGTCAGGATGCAATCATGGAATGCTCCCCACAGGACTGAGGTTTCTGATATTAGTAGATCAGGAAGGAGCCGTGTTGCTGCAGCTTCCATGACACAAAGATAACTTTGGAAGGAGGCGGAGCCCCAGATTGCAGCAATAGGGGTACTCAGATATATGCCCTTGGTCTGATTGTGGGCATAAACGCTGGCCCCACAGTTCAGCAGTAACCATTAGAGTTGAAAAGTACTGGGTTCGCCACATGGAGGACTCGGACAACGACATGCTGTAGCACACGTTTATTGTACTTCACATAGACAAGACTAAAGACTAACGGCCACGGGGCCAACTATATCCATATCCACCAGCAACCCTCCCCCTCTCATTGGAGGGTTTGAATGTCCCGCCAAGGTGGCTATTGGTTGGGGCTGGGGAATCCAGGATCCGAAGTTTCCTTTGTTTTCGGATCCAAGCTCTGGCCTGTCCGCGGACCCCTAGAGGTGGTCCACGTACAGAACAAGAGTGGTGATAGCTTGATGCTGTTTTGAAGTGGGCATTAGCACAACAGTAGCAATAGCTGAATGTCAGCAAGCTGCCATGGTGTTCTGTGTTCCTGGTCAGTGTACAGTTGTTCCAACCCTTCCCCCTCTCTTGCTAGCATGTATGTTATTCTGCTGTAATGCCTAAGACTGATAACTGGAGGATACGAGGTGGGAGTACGCTTGAATGCCGGCTTGTTGCTTTTAGTGTCTGAGAACTGCACCTGTATTATGTCTAGAGATAACTCGGTTCTCAGGGAATGAGCGCGCAACCGTTTCCTTTTGCCCGCCAGCGGGAAAGTGACCCATTGGTTCTGTGTTTCCTTCAAACCCCTTTATTATGTTTGACCCCACCGTTTGTGTTCAGTTCTAACAAAGAACGTGTTTGAGTGTCTTGCCAATGCTTTGAAATAAAATCTTGCTGTTTAAAACGTGGATTTATTCTCGATGCTTGGGAACCCAACACTGAATATGAACTGGCAAGAAAAACCTTTGGTTTTTCGAAGGTATCAGTGTGTCTGTAATAGCACTTCCATAATGCAACATAAATGATTGCCCTGTTAGATAGGGACAGGATACTACTGTAGGCTCCTGAAAAGCCAGTGAATGTTTGATCCATGATAGCAAAAGTGGATTTCACTGCTAGTACAGATTTGATGCTGTGGCATTTATTGATTGTTAAGGGATACAATGTTAAATGGTTAACAGTACCATCATAAGAGGAATTACACCATTCCAAACCAATTGACTTTTTAGAAGTTTTAGAAGGATACAACTCTGCCTGGGATGGCACTGTAACTTCCTCTGTCTACTTTATCTTAATTTCTGAGAAATAAGTTTGGCTTTAGGCTTTCAGCATTAAAAAAAGGTTTAACATGTATATAATATGTCAATTTTAACATTTTCAGTTTATCCCAGATCTTAGATATTTACACATTAATCTTTGCTCAAAGGGTAAACAGAAATTTAGACTAGTGAAAATACAGGAAGGCTTTAAAAATGCCTTTATAACTTGAAACACATTAATCTTCCCCAAATATGGATTTACTTAGGAAGAGTCATAGGAGTAATATCTATGATGGTTACAACCAGGAACATATAGATCTCTATGCTGCTACCTCACGTGGTGAGCCATCACAGCTATAGATCAGTGAGTTGCATGGGCTGGGAGCTGACCCTAGTATCTGCAGTGACTAAAGTTGCTAGCTCTGAGCTGAGAAATACCTGGAGATTTGGAGGTGGAGCCTGAGGACAGCAGGGTTTTGGGAGGTGAGGGACTACGATGAGGTATAATGCCAAAGAGTCCACTTTCCGAAGTGGCAATTTTCTCCAAGTGAACTGATCTCTGTCACCTGGAAATCAGTTGTAATCCAAGGAGATCTCGAGCCACCACCTGGAGATTGGTAACCGAAGTGGCAATTTTCTCCAAGTGAACTGATCTCTGTCACCTGGAAATCAGTTGTAATCCAAGGAGATCTCGAGCCACCACCTGGAGATTGGCAACCCAAGCAGTGACCCTACCTACTCACAAATGACTACCAATGCAGGATCTTTGTACCTAGGTGAAATTTGTTTTCACTGTGTTGAGCTCCTGATTTCTAATTCCTGGGTTGTGAGAATGCAGATGCTTGTTGGTCATTCGGCACTTAACTAAGGCTCTGTGACAGGCATATGTTTTGCATTTCGATGCTCCCAGGTTCAATTTCTAACTTCTTCAGATTAAAAGGGTCTTATGTGACAACCCAGGGAGATACCTCTGTTTGAGACACTGGAGATAGGGTTGACAAGTCCTACCTGGCAGCTGACAGGGGAATCCCTGGTCCTCTCTGAGATCTTCTGCCACACGTGCGATTCAGTGACGTCACCTGGATGTGATGTCATCATTTCATCACCGTCGGGGGGTTGACGCTCTAGTTTTTGGGCAAAACTCTATGGTTTTGTAGCCAATTTTACCATAGGGTTTTGCCAAAAAACTAGAGCGTCGCCGTGCAATGTGATGATGTCACTTCCAGGTGATGTCATCACATCACTTTCAGGCCAGTTGGGGGCAGGCTTCTCTCCACTGGCCAGCTCGCTAGCAGCAGGGAAGTGCCCCGCAAAAGCAGGGGTTCCCCCATCCCTGGTGGGCGTCTGGCAGCATTTACTCATATATAAACATTTGAGGTATGATAAAGTAGACCAATATGATTCATTAATCCTCCAAACCCCACAATCAAAAATGCTGCATTGGTATGTTCTTGTTTGCGTAGGGGGATCTACTGAGAGAAATTTTACCTTTCACAAAACATCCTCCAATTCCTTTGACAGCTCTGTGTACTGACATCTCTGCTAAAATGCTTTTTGCAGCTAACAAAGGTAAGCAATCATTTCTGTGTCAGATTGTAAGGATAAAGAAATATATATTGCACCAAACTAAAACATTTTTTGTAAGTATATTTATTGGGTTTTTATATTACACACCTATTACATTTACATATCACTTCAACAGCAAATTTACTTTCGCACTTCCCATACCTCACTTCACCAACAGCACAGGACAGCTTATCAATTGCCCATCATATACAACATTATGCTCTTAATCTTGATCTTACTATCTTACCTATATAACAGCATTGAATAAAAGCCTCTAAATCTTTCACCTTAATGAACCTCATGCTGTCATACTAATAATTCATATCAATTCATTCAGTGATATGCAACATAATTTAAACTTGTTATTAAGATATATTCTCCTTAATCAATCCTTGCCCCTCCTACGACATTCTGTTGGTTCTTTCAAACATTATAGGAACATATGCTGTTTATCTCTCCCTTATATATAAAGCCATAGTGGGCTCCAACGTTCCAAAATGCACACCTTTAGTGTTTGGCCGCAAGAACTGTCAGTCAGAAGACGCTGGCTGGGTTGACTCGCTGCTTTGTGCAGTCCCGCCCAGCATTTCAAGGTCTTTTGCATATGGAAGCTGATTGGACTTCACTCCATTCCACACCTCAAACTCCCCCCCCCCAAGCAAGGCAGTTGGAATTGCCAGTTGCATATGGAACCTACTGTATTCTGAGGTAAAATATGTCCTCACTCACAACACATCACTTCCCCTTCAAAAGAAACAAACCCAATAACACAATCATGCCACATCACAAAGAAGACAGCTCACACCACAAGCAGAATACCACAAGGCAAAAAAAGACAGGGAAAGGTGCCA